TATATATATATACATATATATATATCATTTTATTATAAATACACAACATTAATCTACCATTCACTATGAAAATTCACTATGAAAATGACAATACAGCAGTTTCCCGTACAGAACATAAACTCATTATTACTGTAAAATCCTTAATAATACTAAATAAAAGTAATAATATACTATACAAATTATAGTTATATAGTATAATATTGTAATACATATTTATATAAAACTGTATTTATCATTTAAATATTTAATCACAAAATATATAACTGCATGTACTTTTTCATTCAGTTTGAGTTCAGTTTAAATAGTTTTTAATCTGAATACATATCAGTAATCAAACTGAAAGCTCATTTTAAATTTGTTTTGGTCTTTTAAGGGTTGTGATATGTGGGAGATTATGTGATATTATCTTTTACCAGTCTTACATTTGATCAAAATGAGATCAGAGGCACCTCCTATTAATTCTGACAGCAGCTGTGTTAACCATGATCTGACCCAAGATGGCTGCTCTATAGGCATGTCAGCCTTGCTGCCTGCAGCCTCCAATGAGGCGTGTAAGTATAAGTGTCTATAGGATGCCCCAGCAACAGCTAGAGCAATGATAGTAACCAATCAGGGAAGTTAGAGACATGAAGTCCACTGTGCAAGACAACAACAGGGGGAAACGGCATCATAAAACAACTGCAAGGAAAGAGCTCGTGTACCGCAGATGAATGGCAAGATTACATTGGCTAAGAACCACAATGGCAGCTAGAAACATCTATAAATGCTGAATAAACATGTGCAACATTGACATATCAAATATCTACGTTAGCAACAACTTAAACCAACATCTGCATATATTACATCTACATATTTTTGACACAAATGGAACTCCATAAAATATAATGTTACATAAACCTTACTATGCAGCGGCAAGATTTGCATAGGTATGAGAGGATAAAGCTGCTATGCATTTATTCATCACCTCTTCTGAGCTGTTAATGCTGTGAACTCATTAAGGTTTTTTGGGGATGAATTCACCATACCAATGAATATTCAAAGGGAACTGTTGTCTGGTGGAAAAGATGTGACAGCAAAGTATCTCTCACAACAGTCAGTGACACAGAGACACACGTACAAAATGACACGTCGCCGTGCACGCTGACACGTCGCGCCCACGCGCACACAGTGACTGCCCATCGAGGCAAGCCGAAGGGGAAATCATTGTTGCTTTTGCAAACAAATATAATTATCAGCCTCAACGTTTTCTGCAACACGATCCCGTGCATATTCTTCCAGGTCTTGCAGCTGTCTGACATTCAACCATATGGTGTGTGTCTATGTGTGTGTGAGGGAATGAGACAGAGAGAATACATGAAAGGAAAGGAAACCCCTCAATCCTGGTTCACTATGGCCTCAATGCACACTGATGCTTTAGTACACTGCAAAAACAGTGTCAAAATGAGTACAAATGTCTTAAAACTTTAATTTGAGCAGGTAAATAAGATGATTTGCCAATGGAATGAGTGTTTTTACTCTTAAAATAAGGTATCCAGCTATTATGCACTTGAAATAAGACAGTGCAATTGTTTCTTTCTTGTTTA